TCCCTCTTATTATTTCAGGTCCTCCCATAAATCATAATAAAGTTCCCTTTCATTTTTCAGATTATCGTAAATTCCCCAATATCGTGCCTTCGCCGGGAATTATTATATTTTAATTCCCCGGCCAAGGTCACAATTTCTAAACTTAACCGTTAATTACTTTCTGGCAATCCGCCGAGATAACGACTGATTTTATCTCGTGCGGCCTTCCACCCGTATTCAGTCTTGGCAATTCGTAAGGGTAGTGACTGAATCTACCCCGTACGACCTTCCACCCGTAATCAGTCTTTGGCAATCCGTCGGGGTTGTTAATATCTTTACCCCGTACGGCCTTCCACCCGTACCAATCAGCCCCTTAAACCCTTTCACCTGGAGCGCCGGCGTCTTTCGCCGGACCTAACCCGATCCTGAAACTCACCCTGACCTTAACCCTAAATTCCCTGAACCACCCCGAAGGGGGAAAATCCTAATATCGTCTAATCACCACCCATCTAACTCATTTCGAACCCACCTCGAAGGGGGAAATTAATCGTTATTTTAACGCGTACACATAACCGTTCCCCTCTCACTCTCTTTATTATTATTTCTTTTTGGCGATACTAACGGGCATACCCGATGCTCGTTACACAATATTTTTCTTTTTGAATTGGAAAACCCGGGTCTTCTTTGTTGAAGAAGAGGAGAATTCCAGAGAGGGGGTATAGTCCCCCCTCCCCCTTGTAATAAGAGTCGATTCGTGAATGAACAGCCAGCCATTTTGAGTTTTTGAATTTACTGATTTTTGTATTGAGTTGAGAGGAGTCAGCGCCTCTTGGAAAATAATCATAATGATTGGCGCCCTGGAAAAATTTTGGGAGTTGCGATTGCATTTCAAATTGAAAAAATAAATTGAAGTTTAGTGCTCTGAGGTATCGGCGTGCGTCACAACCTAATAAAATCATGATAGTGTCACCATTTTATCGAATAAATCCGTATTTATGTATATACGTTAAATGTGAAGAATTTACAGAATTGAATTAATACCCAGTAAATTGGTGTAAAATGCAATAATGACCTGTAGATCATCAATCCTGAAAATCTCAATACTCCCAGTTGAATCATCCAAAAATAAAAAAACATCAAGTGTTTTACTTTTCAACCTTAGAAGAGTTAAAGGGAAATTTCTTAACCGCCAATGTAATTGTAAAGGACCTTATTCCATCAAAACAAATTGAATGACGTTGTATACCACATTCACCGATCTCCATACTTGAAACTAAAAGCAATTCACATTTATAGAGTGGCTTCCTATCAAACTTAAAGCCTCATCCCTTCCATTTTCCATATCAGATCATTAATCTCTAATGTCTGTTAGGTGAACGTTGCGTTGATTTGGGTGGATCGGAAGGTTTCAGGAAATTTGTGAGGTGATGGTATGTAATGTAATACGTGGAGATTATACCACACACAAATTGTTAATTTATTAAAACTGGAAGTCAATCTCAATGCAGTTACACTTGATTGATGTTGATGTACATTTGGTTGAGGTACGCGGTAATTTTACGGGGTGAGTTAGAATAATTTCACGGTGAGCATCGATAACGAACTTGTCGCGTTGAGTGTCGATGATGAAGTCGTGTTGACTTGATTTCTCCTACGGGATACTCGATTTTTCTAGTCCCCTGTGTCTGAGAATTTTCCCTAAATATTAATTGAATAAAATATCTGTTTTTGACGCTTTACTTATCTTTTCTTTTTATTTAAATTACGTGATAATTGAATCAATGATTAGGCATGCCCGAAAACACCCTGTTTCCACCAAAATCCACCCCTCTCTCCATAAACCGCACACTGAGCGAACCAGGACCGTTACCTTTCCCTGAAAACCTGATTTTCCTTTCCGCCCCCTTCTGGGTTTCTGTTTCTTTTGAGTTTTAGTGGATTTTAGAGAAATTTTGAGTCAGGTAGAGAGCCCCGACTTTCGAGGTTAATAATTTTAAGTTATGGCTGTTTCCGGTTTGGTAATTCCGGCCCAGAAAAATTAACTGGCGCCCATTTAGTTCATTTTAGCACGTTTGGTTAGGCTTTAGGAAAGTAGAGCGAAGGTAACTGTCATTTCCGACCCCCATACGAAAATGTTACGTTACACTCCTTTTTTCAGATTTATCTGATCAAGATTTTCCAGAACTCATCCAACCTGTCGCACAGTCCAACAAAAGCCTCACCTTCATCAAAGCTCCCGACTACGACAATTTCATTCGAATCTAGGCCTATTCTCTTTTGTATTTTCCGTCAGGCTTTTCAAAGAGAATATGGATTACAGACCCCAGATAACTCAAAACTCAACTTTTCCTTGAAACCAATATTTCAGTTGCTCATAACAACATGTTTGTTTGATTGTCGAGACGGCAATGTCTCCTTCAGAGGAGGGAGTAGTGTAACGAATCACTAAAACCTCTAATTTACTATTTGCATTCCATCGGTATCCATTCCTCTCTGTTCTTCAAACCTCTCCTCTGAAATTAGCATTTCTTTTTTATGATGTCAGATTTCTTTTTCTCCCAATATGGACAATTTGTTGGATCGAATTCTCGTGTGGTTGGCCCCCTTGCTTTCGGCTCGTCTCGCCAAACTCCGCACGAGTAAAAAAACCCCATCCCAACAGTCCGGATATTATTTTTCCGCAGTGATTTTCAAGTTTTCGAGATTGGGAAGTACGTAATACCAATTCCCAGACGAGAAATCGTGAGAAGCAGTACCGAGAGATTTTTCATCGCTCTGAAGTGACAAACCTAAATAAACTTTTTCAAACATTATTGTCTGTATCTCCTGACTGATACACGCAGAAATAACCAAAATACTCTTAAAAAGAGGCAATTTCACAGAGATTAAAAAAACGATTATTGGTGTCACCTCCATCTTCGAACTCGCTTCAGAGCACATTAGGATAGATTAATCGAGTTATTGTATGCATTTTTTAAGCCTTCATTTAATTGGTTCAGATATTTTTTTTGGAGATATTATGAAGAAACCTAATTTTCGAAAAATGTAGAGTTTAGAAACGCGAATGAATGAAATCCATCTCTACTGACGGCGATAGATAGGGCCAATAAAGACCTACATTTCAATAGAAAAAGATGGAGTTAGATAGACCTGCGGATGAAATCAAATCAAAGAAAATCTATGAAATAAAAATAGCACATACACACACACATACATGCATACATTCGGACAGGGTGTAAAAACTGCACTTTCGAACTCCTTGTGTCATATTAAGTTAACATATGATAAAAAATAGGAATCTTTTGCTGCAACCATTTGGTTTTAATTTTATTCTTATATTTGTTCGTCCTTTCTCTACACTATAATATAGTGATAGTTTAGCCCTAAAAATTTTTTCGAGATTCTATTAATTATGATAGAATGTGTTATCTATTCGATAGAAAAAAAGTATAAAAATATTGGTGTTATAGGATACGCAATGTCGTGCTTCAGAGCGCTCGGAGGACTGTGTAACTGATGACTTCCATCAAGCCAAGAGCCGCGGCACACCACCGAAAAAACCTGCACGTCTGTCTTTACATCGAACTGCTAGTCTGCAGTCTGTTCCTGGCGTAATGCCAGCAATTTCTCAGGCACCAAAAAGGCCCACCAAGAGGACGCATCGAGGGGATTCACCTATTGAACAGACTTATGGTCAATGTGAAAGTAGTTCTGAGACGACGAATACTCACCAGACTGATCAACCACCCCAACCCCCACCCAGAACACCTTCTAGAGCGGACTCGTATCAGAGGGCATTTAGATGGTCATTACCTAAACCAAGGCGAACATGATAAACATTTTAGGCTGAGTGTCAAGGTCTGAGCGAGTGAGTCTTTTTACGGAAAAAAGGCTGACGGAGGCCCGAATTAATGAAAGATTTTTTCTGTTACTAAATTCTTTCGTTATTGTCTTTTAAAAGTGTTTCTGAACTTTTAATTATTTCACTGCGAGTGTTAATAATAAAGAATTGTTTTAAAAATGCTACCACCAGGAATCGAAAGATGGCATTTATAATTTGTAATTCCGCGCTCTTGCCACTCGGCTGTTCAGTTACCCGTTGAAATATAATATTTTATTCTGGTATACCAGAAACTGGAAGTATAGGTATTTGTAATTTTATTTGCACAGTCGAGAATCATATATATGATATTATACCCTAGTAGATAAATTAACTCACAAACAATTAATTATATTTTCTTACCCACAACTAAGCAGTCTCTTCTTCAAAGGACTGCTCTAAGCGCCGTCCAAGCCTAACTCGGTTCCTTGGTCGAGAAAAAGAAAAAATTATTATAAATCACTCAATGTAACGGTTTTTTAAGGTCATAAAAAACATATAATTTTCCTGGGAGAGCAATGTTGACTGCTTAAACATAAGAGGAAATGGTGGGGCCCCTTAGAAAATGAAGAGATCAGGCTTGGATCAGGCTTGCATCACTCAGCCTCAGTGAACTAATGCTTTTCCAACTCTGTTCTTATTGTCAGCTTTTGGAATACTTACCTGAGGGTACGAAACGGACAGCTACGAGAAATATTCCCAACACAACTGATTATTTTCTGTACTTTCACACATATCCCATAAATAATACACTAAGTTCTCTTAGTTGGTCGGGCTCTGAACGTAACCGTGAGGTGATTTTCATGGACATTCAATTTGAAGATTCAGCCCCAACCCGACGTTTGAGCGCTGTTTTTGAAATGTTACACATTGGGGGTCAGGCGTCGCCGGAGAATATTTTTGAGGAAGAAGAGACCATTAGGGGAGGGGGTCTACAATGTAAGGAATCGACGGCGAAGTATCGGGGCGAGCGTCCGGGCGTCTGCTCTCCGAAGTAGCGTGCCAGAGAGTCAACTTCAATTAGAATTGCCAGATGGTGGTATTTTTGGAAACGTTTTTTCTATATAATACATTAAAAATCAATCAAATGCAGTCGATGAGGCGACTAATTGATACCTTTCAAACGATGTCGCTGATATCTCATTGTGGCCTTGGTATCTATTCTAAAAAATCGGCATCTGGTAACCCCGAGTTCGACACAGCCGCACAAACCCGCCTGGCTATGGCAAAGTTCATTCTCTCGGGCACGTTAGCTTAGAATTTATGCTCATTGTTCTTGTTAGGTCAAGTTGTGAAGAAGTTAATAAAACAGAATTTTTTTTTACACTTAACATTAATTTGAGCAATATTAAGGTGACTTGATTGGATCTGATACTATTCCTATGAAGTCAAAGGAACATTGGGACACGACAAAACGCAAAAGAAGTTTTGAGTTCAAATGAAATGTTATAGAATATCTGAAATATTATATGTAGATTGCCGAAGAGGTTTTTTTTCCTCTCACGCGCTTATTCTGAGGTCATATTTGCGTAATGAAAATATGACGTCATCCCTGGCATCAAAGTTTTTGGTATAAAATTGTTTTTATAATCAATATTATATTCGAATATAAAAAGATTATTTCGAAAATTTCCTTCCTATTTTTCCCTTATCTAATTGTAAATCAATAAAAAAACCTTTTTCCCACAAATTTGTGTATTAATACTTATTTGATAGAAAAGTGGCTTGCATTTACAATTCAACAACAAACGTGTCGAAAACACGGAATTATATTGGGGATATGCTGAACTGTTACATGAATCGCATTTGAAATTATTTTAAAGGTCCCATCTCGATCACCTAAACTTCACGGACCTTGACTAACAATACTTCCTTGTCACAATTTAATAACACATTTTTGAAGCCATAGCCCGGAGAATCCTTGCAGAATGGCCTTCGAATCCGTAAACTCACCTCCATGTTACTGAGGCCGGAGCTAGGAGAGTACCAGTCGGGCGGGTTCACCCAGACAGTTTCTGTTGTGTGGCGTTTCAATGTATGATGTCGAACAAAAACATTGGAGATGAGATCATTTCTACTTTGAATTTATACTAGGGTTACTGTACGCACAGAGCAGAATTCACGTTTCATGGATCTTCGGTCAGAATACACAAAAATCATTGCAAAGCCGCTAAGAACTCTAACCTTCGCTGTGCCCAGTAAAAATAATAACCATTAGAAATTACCATCAGAATCAGGCATTCCCGAACACTGCTTCAAAAGACTGGTGGAGACCCGCAGAGTGGACATCTACATCTAGGGGCAGTCTGAACTGTGAAAAACCGCTGGGATACAGGGAGACGGCTAACGTAAGGGAAAAGATTAATCAGAAGTGCATAGGACTCCCCGAACCCCGATATGTCAACGCGACAAGAAATATAGAATAAAATGAGGAACCCTTGAGGAGATTTGACCGTAACTAGTGGCGAGAGGTAGTGCCTGGACAAGAAAGGATCTTATGAAACTCACTTAGTGAGACCTATTGCTTAGAACTTAGTACTGAAGTGTAAAATGACTAAAGTGATAAAATGAGATATCGTAATAAGTATTGAGGGATCGTCGTTCAGATCCGCATTAAAACTACTGTAGAGAGAGAGTGAGACTAAACTTTTGAAATAAGGCAGTTCATTATTTTCGAAACTCGGGGTGGGTGAGGAATAGAAGGAATAAGTGTTGCGGACGCCGCAGTTACTACGGTTAAAATTTTTTGTATATCCGGAAACTTGGTGAAACCACAAAAAAAGGGGGCTTTGGAAAAAACCTCATACAATAGCAAGGAATGTCGGTATGACCAGCCGAAATGCCGAGTATGCGAAGTGACCACAATAAAAGGGACCACCTGGCAGGTATTCAAGTGGCCATCATTATGGCCTGAGCGGTGTTAAGGAATGACCATGAAGGCGACAACACCTGGAAACCACGAATCATCTAAAAAGAAGCCAGACAATTGCTCAAAGGCACAACTAAGGAGATCCTTTTCACTTCTTTTCTTCCCTCTATTGAATCTGGGGGTCAATCACTTAAACAACCTTCCAATGGCAACCGCAGATGGGAGCTGCCCAGAAACATCCCTTTTGAATACATTGTTAATCATATGAAGATGCCTCCCACCATACCTCAAAAAACGTTGGATGACGAAATCTCAAAATGCCAACGGCTGTAGGGGACTCACGCCCGAACAGGGCGGTTTTTCGGCAGGAGTATAAATTAATTCTTCGAATCGAAATCTTCAAGTGGTACCCTGCTCCTCATCCAGTTCAACTCTCCAGGCCCAGTCTTCAGGCGAGCCACTCTACAGCGCCACCCTCTGACGTCACCACTGGGCGCAGTCTAAGCGTATAACTCGACTCTCCTCGCAACCCCAGATCGAGTGCGCAACTTTAATCACAACCAACGAGTCCAAAGTAAAATTTCGACTCTTGGTTATTAACGGGGGGGCCCTTCTCATTACTAAAACTGACCCTTCAAGATCCGTCTGTCGGGAGGCAGCTCTGCAGCATCGCCCACTCTCATCGCAATTACATCGAGTGAACAACTCGATTTTCTTCACTACGTCTGATCGACGGGTGTACTTCAAGGGAGGCAAGCCATCCGATCCCATTACAAATTCTTGATTTTCGATGGGGGGCCCTGCTCACTATTAAAGCTGACCCTTCATGATCCGTCTGTTGGGAAGCAGCTTTGCAGCACCACTCATCCTCATCACTACAAGCCCGAGTAAAAACCTCGATTTTCTAGACTGCGTCAGGTCGATCCCATTTCTTCAAGCCAGCACCGACCTGGTGAATTACTCAGCGTACAACTGAGTTTACCCCGAGTCTCCAGCTCCGGGATCCCTCTACACCTAGCAATATAAAGCTAGCGAGCAAGCAAGTTCTGCCTGAGTGGAAAACTCAGGCCTATTAACACCACCAACGCCTCCGGATTCACGTCATCATCATCACCAGCGCTAAAAAAGCGTGTTTGAGCAGTTTTCATCCATCAGTGCTAGAGGATCTAGCATACTTTTGGAGTTCTCCGGAATCCGCTGCGAAGAGGAAACACCAAGACATCACCTCTTCACTGCTGCCGTTTATTTCTACAACCGTAAGTCAGAAAAACACACCAATAACATTTACACTATTCCCTCCTACACTTTTTCCCTATCTACCCCTGGTTTTATCTTGGACTTTCTTCTATCCTGTATCTTAAGTGAAGCGTAATAAATTTAAATTCTATTTTAAGGGAAACCTAAGGGTATCTTTCTCTTTGTGTACTAATTCCTCATATCATAACCATTGTGTACTTCACTCCTTAGTCTCACGCAATCGCATTTCCCTTCCGGAAACTACTCATCTGCAGAGTTCACATTTTATCCGACGAGAACGAACGCGCGCTGTAATTAAAAAAATCGTGATTAAAAATTGTTAATTTAAATGAGTTCCAAATTCACATTAGCCGCCTCAGACGACCCAACCAATCAGAAATAAGCGTGACAGGCTTTCGAGATATCGATAGTCTCGATGTTTGTCCTTTTTACAATAGGATATTTCGATCTGCCTAGTGACCCAGTGTCCGCTGCATAAGTTGGAGATTTTATTTATGGAAAAAATATTATTTAGGTCCGCATAAAAAGCAGGCGCTCCATGAAAAAGGGTTCCCAGGATTAATTGGTATGGCTGGAAGACCACACGGAATAAAATACTGTCATTATTCCGGTGGATTGCCAGAGTGACTGATTACGGGTTAGAGGAGACATTAATATATTTTAAGATTAAACGTTTAGGCCTTTTAATCCCGAGATGGAGGAGAATTGCCCACGCAGAAATGAGTGGTAAGAAATTAGTAATAGGGTATCACCCCCGACAACGCGCGACAAGTGTGAAATATCTATCAACATTCCAGGCTGCTATTAAGTAGGCTACCGTGGTTAATTATGCATCGTTATGCGTAAAAGTTCGTGAGATTGTGGGAAATGATATCCCAA